TGCAACATCATGTAATATATGAAGATCCTCTATCATGACTTCCCTCTCATATGACATTGTACCAATTAATCTTAATAACAAATCCTCTCGAGATTGTATTTAATTCTTTCAGCTAAAAACATTAAAGTTATAACCATCCCACCAAAATAGCAGGTTATGATTGTACAAGACTGATGTTATGATTGGAAATCGAGCAGAAAATATGAATCTCACTCTAGATCTAATTGCATCCTTATTAACGCCCCTCACTCTCCTCTTTAAACACAAACAAACACAAGAATACAGACATGTCACACATGTAGTCCAAGAAAACAAAGGAAATCGCATACGTTTTTCTCACTTACACTAAAATATTACATACACATGCAACATGGGAGAGAAGAGAGACAGAGAGAGAGAGACAAAGAAGAGAGAAGAGAGGCGAGGACATATGATGAAGCTAGACAATAAACACAGGAGCGGAACATTGCCAGCACCATAAATTGTTGGATCCACAGTTAGAATTACGTGCTCCAACTTGAAAGCAAACCCCTTCCACCACATATATCTACTTGTACTCCCACTATTATCTCCATGATATAGTAAGCCTTATCTCAAAAGCATCTCCCTTTCTTTCACTTGTCCACTAAACCTTTCACATAAAACCTATCATTCACTTTTTAAAACACGTCAAAATAGTATTAACTTACCAAATCCCTCCTATATATTGCTAATTATGCGAGTAATCTTCTATATATGAGAGTTACATGGAGTTTTCCCCAACTTTTTTAGACACACTATGCCTTTCACATTAAAAATGCACCATTAACCACATATATTGTACTCCACTACTACTACCCCGCATTGCCCTTACCTCCACAAATCTCATCCTATTTCACCTTTGCGAACTTTCCTAGAAAACATATCACAAAATTAGGCTAAAATTAAACAAACTCTAATTATTTTCATTAAGGATTAATCTATCTAACTCGTTTAAGTGTACGACACAATTTCCCTCAACTTTAACAACACTATAACACTAACAAAACCATGTACTTAACACTGCCACTAACTGTAACACACACTTCACAAGTTCAACTAGTTGAGTTACATTCCTACTTGCTATATTTTTACTTCCTCTCTCTTTCTCTTTAACATTTTCAGCCTACATCTCTTTCTCCTTGCACCATTCTTCTCACTGCAAGGCCCACCTCGAAACTCGGCTGCCACCCGTTGAGCCCAGAGTTCAATTAGCCATTTGATTCTGATCTCTCTGACCCAATCCACCCCTTAAACCCCTAAACACACTTCCCACACCGATAAAATCCCTATTCATCCATTCAGAAACCCTCCATTAAAAACTCTATGGTGACAACTGGCTCCTCATGTGTGATGATTTATCCATCTCATTCACCCCTGATGGCACCAAACCACTGAAGATCCGCTTTCCTTGGCTAAGAGTTATAAGTCTGTAGATTCGCCTCAGTTCTCCATCTGCCGCCCTAGTTATTGCCCAGCCGAACGCTCTAGCCACCTGAATCCTTCCTAGTCATGGCCCATGCTGCGCTGCCTTTATGAAGCAAGCCGTCGCCGACATCTGGGAAGTGCATTGGCTCGGTACATAAGCTCGCACCATGTAGTTCCCAGCGGAAGAGCAGGTCATCGGTTCTGCGTCTCGCCTGGCGGGCCATCAAGAACCAATTTTGGATTGCTAAATCGTTTTGGAATTGTACTAGTCAGCATCCACAGAGCTAGATTGATAAGGCTGGCTGCGGCAGAGACCGCGCGCGAGGATGACCCTGCGCATTGCATAAGACGTGAAGCGTTTTGGTGTTCTTCTTGAAATCATGGCGGACGGCGAAGAGAGTAGAAGGCGAGGATGGGGGCTGCGTTGCGAGGAATGGCATCGAAATGAGCCGCTGGCAGCGCGCGCCAAGACGAGAAGAACGGAGAAGGTCTGCAGCGGAGGAGGCAGCAGGTCCCTGGTCGAGGTGTCCGGGGTTGACTTGAGAGAAGCCGAGGTTGATGTTGTTGGTGTTGGAGAAGAGGCCGATAGTGTTGAGGTTGGTGGGAAGTCTCGCGCTCTCTTGGGCTAGTGCGTCGCAAAAGGCTCGGTGGGTTATGAAGCTGTCACGCCTAAGGAAAAGAGAGGAGAATTAGGACATAGATTTGATTTGAGAAAATACTTGAATTCAATTGTTGAGTATAAGGCATTTTATGAGAAATTGAAGAATAAATTGGATTATTGATGTTTGAAGTTTTGCGCAAACTAGGAGTTTTTAAAACTAAATTACGCTTTTTGGTGATTTTCTTTATATGAGCTGCTTCATGAAGTAATGCATGGAAGAAGCAACTAAGTAGTAGTCTAGTAACTCTAGTAATATGAGCAACCAAAGATCTAAGTAGACCATAATGAACTTTTTTTGTAATGAGAATTACACTCAAACTAAGAAATAAATTAAAACAAAGTAACCCATTACTCATGTTTAGCAAAACAACATAAATTCTAGACTTGCCTAATGACTCAAAACATTATGATAATCTTGTTGTATAATATAATATTTTTTAATTTCGTTAACCATTTAAATTTTTGATAAATTAAGATAATGACATTTAAAATTTGATTAATGAAGAAAGTATATGATGATTGAATGCAAATATTAATCTCTAAGATTAATTTAGAAGTTTAACTAACTGCTATGTTCTCTTCATGAACTAATGAAAGAGTAGTCAAATTATAGCTAGCCTAGAATTGTATGATCAAATTTGAAGGAAAAAAAAATGTAAACATACAACTATAGAAAAGAAAAAAAATGGTTTTCTTTATTTGGCTATTGAGCTACACATCGTGATAACATTACATAAATTTTTGTCAATGCGATTCTTTTTATTAAGCAATTTCATTTATTCACAACTATGTATGAATTTTTTTGTAAGAAATTAAATAATTAATGATCAAATCCTCAAAGATGGAAAATTCAAATGATAGCAAGAAGCATCTTTCTCAAACAGCAAATACAGCAAGCAATGGCCTCGGAGACCCCAAACCTTGGTCCACATTTTCCCCAAACAAGCAAATAGAAAACAAACATGACAGAAATAACCCCCGCTTCAAACTTAGAAAAAATGCATTACTGCATGTCAACACAAAGCCCATTTCAAGCACTGCCTCCTTCATTAATGCAAAAACAGAATTTTGCAGAAAACATGCTAACAAATAATAATCTGCATTAATGACCCCCAACCCACATTCTCCCCTTACACCTTTCTATAATCATGCAAGCCCCATCAATCAATTTAAGCCTCATTCCTAGTACTTCAATCAAAGCTACCTCTTGATTGAGCAATGAGTACTTCACTCATTAGCAAAAAGAAAAAAGGGAGGGGGGTGGGGGCTGGCTTTCATTGAAAATCTGTGGCACCATTCGCCCAATGCCAACCCACAGACACCAAAAAACCTGTGAACTCAAAACCCTAGCGTGGATTCCAATGACTAAAAAGTCCCTACTCTTTTTATTTTTCACTAATGACTCTAACCCTAACTCTGATAATTTACCAACGACAGATTTTACCTTGAGAAGAGAGTTCCACAGTCACAGCGGTACTCTCTAGTGCCGCAAGTCTTGGAGTGAGCCTTCCAGTCCGACTGAACGGCGTAGCGCTTGGAGCACTTTTCGCACTTCCACTTCTTCTCGCCGTGCTTCCTGCAGAAGTGCTTCTTGATCCCGGTGAGGTCGCCAAGGGCCCTCGAAGGCTCGTGGTGGACGCAAGTAGGCTCCGGGCACAAGTATACTTTTCTGCGAACTTCTTTTGTGCTCTTCTGTTTCAATTTCCACGGTAGATTGTGCCCTCGCCTGTGGAGCTGCAGGTTTTGCTCCCTTTGGAATCCTTTGTTGCAGACCTCGCAGACGAACCGGTTTGTGGCCATAAGGGTTTTTGGCGATAGAGCGATCACTTCTGCGTCCGGATCTGGATCGGATCGGAAGGGTTTTTTTATGAGCGCACGTTGAAATTAACCTTGTATGATTTGGGTGCGGAAATTAGGGTTTAGGATTTACTCACTTGGGTTACCTGGTTGGTTCCTCTTCTTTTTCTGAGGGGGGCCCGCGGCGGTGGAGGAGTTTGGAGCACTGGCTGTCGTGCTGAGGAGTACAGTGGCGTCTCGACAGCTGGGGGCGTGATGATGATTGGATTCAGCGATACTGAAGAAAGAGGCTGATGAAGATGCTGAGGCCATTTTGATCTTGTCCTTGATGAGCTTTTCTCCCTGTTGTTTCTTTTTGTTAATTCATGGAAAGTAATAATATCAGTGACTAGTCCTAATCAAGCAAGTAAAGGGAAAGTTCCCCCTCACTCGAAAACATGAAAATAATATGAACTCTCTTGGGTTCTAGCTATCTTCTGTCTACCTGTTTTCTATCTATGTATTTGTCTGTCGTCTCTCTCAAAGACCAAAAAATATTAAGGAAAAACACCAAGGAAAAGTGTGGAGAGAAGAAAGGGGTAGCTTTAATCAGTACAGCTCCCAATTCTTACATCTAAGAAAAGAACAAAGGCAGGGGGGAATCCCAAACGAACAGTTACACTCACAGCCGAGTAAGTAAAGTGAAGAGAATGAAAGGAAAAAAACAACAGAAGAAAAATAAAATAATTAAACAATTAAAGAATACAGACCAAGCCCAAGTTTCTTCTTCTTCTTCCTCCTCCTCTTCTTCTTTCTTCAATATTTATTTATTTATTTTTGGATTGAGAGATGAATAGGGAGGGAATTGAGAGAGTAAGAAGAGATGGTTGTTGGATGATGGCTTTCAATTCCTTGTCATACTTTTCCTTCTTTCCTCTCTCTTCCTTCTCCTCCCTTTGCACCACAAATAAAAAATTGTAGCCAAAAATGTATATAAATTGGAGAGGAGAGAGAGAAAGAGGTGGGGGAGAGAGAGAGGGAGGAGAGAGAAAGAGGTCGATGGGAGCTCACGAAGACAAGTGTGTCGTTATGTGGCGAGAGGAGAGGGGGCCCACCGACCGTAGAGCTTACCCTCTCTCCCTGAAGGCTAATATCCCTCAAATTTTACGCTGACAAAACTCACTCAAGGAGATCCACTTTTGTTTTTCCTCCTTTAGTAAAAGAGGAGATGCAGCTCATTGTGACCACACTGACGCTAGGCTAGTGATAACAAAAAGATGGTTTACGAGTAGGAAAAAAATTTGAGCGTAAAGGGACGGGACTTTAGCAACCTTCTTCATAATCGTTTTTGTTGGGCAAATATACTTAGTTTATCATTTTTTTTTACAAATTTTTAAAACCGACTGGTTTGTCAAAAAAATTTCAAAAAAGACCCGTTTCAGATTTAATTTTAAAAACCGACCCAGTTTCAGTCTCAGGGCTAAAATTGGATCGATTTTTGAAAAAAAAGTTCTCAAACATCACGGGAGTTGAAGTCCCGTGAAGTTTTTTACATAACAAAACTTCACTGGAGTTGAAGTCCCATGAAGTTTTGTTATATAAAAAACTTCACAGGACTTCAACTACCGCAAAGTTTGAGAACGTTTTTTTAAAAACAGATCTAGTTTCAGCTGAGGCTAAAACTGGATCGTTTTTTGAAATTAAATCTGAAACTAGTCTTTTTTTTAGAATAAGTTTAAAACAGGTCGGTTTTGAAAATTTATCCCTTTTACGATTATTATCATTAATATTTGGACAAAAATTATCAGATTTTAGTATTTTTTTTTACCTTATGTACTAACTAGGCATATTTTCTTATTCCAATGATGATATGGTATATTTTGTGGAAAACGGTGACAAACATCCTTACGTTTTGGTCAGCCAAAATTCCAGTGAGTTCAGTCACGTGGCCACTTACGTGAGTCTTACGTGGCTTCCAAGGTGGCAGATAATTAGGTTTAGATTTAGGAGCTAATTATAAATGAACTAGTCTTTTTTATAAATAAATTAGGGCTCAAAAGAGATAGGATTCAATTAGGGAGTGTTCTTCTAACAGAATCTACTGGGATATTTTGATCATTTTTTTTGTCAATGAAATTTTTTATTTCATTTACCAAAGTATGAAAAGTTATTTACATCACATGCTTAGGACTTTAAAACATACTTGAGTACAACTAGAACAAAAGAAAATGAAAAATTACAAACTATTCACTCATCCCTTGAGAATTTTATCATTTTGATCAGAGCTTCACTATCCCTAGCAGTGTGCATAACAACCTTTTGTTTCTTTCCTGCAAAAGATGGTAGAAAATAGCAGATAATCCTATTCTTTTGAGCTTCTTTTAAATCTATCACCCTTTAGTCTATTAGAGTACTAGCAGAAGAACAAGTTCCACTCACAACTTCTCCAACCAAATTGCATCCAATCCATAATTGCATTCCAAATAACCATAGAATATGAGAAATCAAAGAATAGGTGAGAATGGCTTTTTTCACTAGCATGAGATTGTAAAACACATTGGTTTGAAGAAATTACCCCTAATTAGCATAATCTGTCCTGTGTAAGAAGCTTTGATTGAATCGCAAGTCAAAGTGTAAAAGAGTGTTCAGGGTAGTGTAGACCTCCCCAAATAGTGTGATACCAAGTTCTATTTATCCTTGAGGTTGACAGTTTTGAATAAAGAGCAGAGTGACAGAATTTATCTTGCACAATACACTCTTATATATTGGTGAATAAGATATCCAGTCCCCCATAGTGGTTCATTGCTAAATCTCTTAATTTAATCAGTTGCTTCCCACATCCAAGAGTCCTCCATTTTGTACTGTACAGTCCAGATTGTGTATCTTTTTAGATAGTGTTCATGTCCACCTAATCCATAGAAGATTCTTTTTTGTGTGAATAAATAAGAGCAGTTTATGTTGTGGGTCCAACCTAAGATAATATGCCTACATGAGGTCCACATGAATTAAAATTCTATTTAGAAGAGGATTTGGAGGATCTAGTTGTAATAGGAATAAGTTTTGGATCTTATAGCTTCTCAGGTCAGTTTGCTAGCTAAAGTCTCAAAGCAAGAAATTAGAGAAGCTATCTTTTCAATGTCTGAAAATAAATCTCCTGGGCCTGACGGATACAGTGTTAACTTCTTCAAAGCAGCTTGGAGTATTGTGGGTGATGAGATTTCTCTGGCAATTATGGATTTCTTTAAAACTGGTAAACTCTTGGGAGTGGTAAATTCTACATCACTTACTCTTATTCCTAAAGTACTATGCCCCAAAACTCCTTCTGACTTTAGGCCTATCTCTTGTTGCAATTTTCTATACAAGTTCATTTTAAAATTTTTGTCAAACAGATTAAAGCTGGTTATGGGCCATTTGGTGAATGAATCTCAAAGCGCTTTTGTAAAAGGCAGACAAATCACAAGTAACATTCTATTGGCGCATGAATTGGTTAAAGGCTACTCCAGGAAGCATATTTCACCAAGAATAATGTTAAACATTGATATCAAAAAGGCTTTTGATACTATCAGTTAGAATTTTCTTAAAGAGATGCTCATTGGATTGGGTTTTCCTGATATTATAGTGGATAGGATCATGACCTGCATTTCAAATCCTAAGTTTTCTATCTCTTTTAATGGTTCCCTCCATGGATATTTCAAAGGTGAGAGAGGCTTGAGACAGGTGATCCTTTATCTTCCTATCTATTCATTTTAGGTATGGAATACCTTTCAAGAAGTCTGGATATGTTGAAGTTGGACAGATTGTTTAAATTCCACCCTAAATGTGGGAAACTCAAAATTACCCACCTCATTTTTGCTGATGACTTGCTATTGTTTGGAAGAGGAGATGTCTACACTGTTCAGAAATTGTTTCTGTGTGTCAAAAAGTTTGGGGAAGTCACAGGGTTGGAAGCGAACAAAGATAAATGCTCTATTTTCTTTGGAGGAGTGGATGAAAATGTAAAGAACTCTATCATTAACCTGCTGGGTTTCAAAGAAGGTTTGTTGCCAATCAGATATTTAGGGGTTCCCCTCATCTGTAGGGGATTATCATACATGGATTGTAGTGATCTCTTAAACAAAATTTCCAACCAGCTGCAAACTTGGCTGAAGCACAAGAATCTCACATATGCAGGTAGACTACAAGTCATCAGAAGTGTTATTTTGGGTGTTCAAGTTTTCTGGACTACAAATTACATTTTGCCGGTAAAAGTTACCTAAAAAATTGATGAATTGTGTAGGAATTTCCTATGGGGAATAACAAATCTGTCTCAAAAAACCCCCTTAGTGGCTTGGCATAATGTTTGTTAGGGTAAGAAGCAAGGAGGACTGGGTATTTTTTCGGCTACAATTTGGAATCTGGCAGCCACTTTGAAGAATCTTTGGTGTATACATTTGCATAAAGAATCCCTATGGATCAAATGGGTCCATGAAAACTACTTAAGTCAAAGAGATATATGACATGTGACTGTCAGAAAAAGAGATTCTTGGATGTGGAAGCAAATGATCAAGCAGAGAGAAAAAGCAATTCTTCTTTGTGGAGATGTAGACAACCTGTTAAACCTCCTTAGCACTTGCTTTAAAGAAGCAAAGTCTCAGATATCAGCCTTATAGTATGCACTATCTAATACTACTCAAAAGGTACAATGGCATAACACAGTGTGGGATAATATATGCTACCCTAAATATGCTTTTGTATGTTGGCATACAGTCTAAAACAGGCTTCCAATTCAAAACAGACTGATGAGAAGAGAGACTATTAATGAAAATGTATGTTGCTTGTGCTCGGGTGCAGGTCAGGAAAGTAGAGATCACCTATTTTTTGAATGTTCTTTCTCTAGTGTAGTACGGAATAGAATTATGGAATGACTAAGTTTTAAATGGAAATCATGCAACTGGAGACTCCTTTTAGATTGGTACTGTACAAAGCTAAGAGGAAGGGGTTTCAGGAAAGGAGTTAATCGTATGGCGCTATCGGCAGCTGTCTACAGGCTATGGAATGAGAGAAATGCTAGGATTTTTCAGGAAAAATTCAAGAGTGTGGATCAAGTTGTGAAGGATATCAAGATGGACATGCTGACTATAATTTTGAATATGCCCACACCTGATGAACATAAGGAATGATTGGTTTCTTTATAGTATATGTTCACAGTAGATAAAATCTCTGTATATAAGGAAAATGTT